CCTAAAGATGGGTTCCATTGACAGAGAAACAAAGCTCAAGATAAAGGTCTAGGGAGGGAGAATGTGGGATCAATGGTCTGGGGGATTTGGGTGATGAATGGCCCTACGGTAGCAAAGGTCACCAGGTTCATAGCAACATCCCCTCCAGCCTTCCTGCACGGAAGACAGATGGTCATTCCTTCCATTGGGAAGACAACCCTGCCGAGCATGCTTGGTGTGTCCAATGCTTGTCTGTGCGCACTCATACCCTCGACACACTGGGGCTTTCACTTCAAACTATTTTTCAGACCCTCGATTTCTTTGATGTGTCTTTCTACCATTTTGCTGATGTGTTAACCTATTTTTGTGACTTTTTCCCTTTCCAAGTTTGGGATTCAATTACTCTGCTCTATTGTGACATCTTTGAAGTCATTTTTTTTTTTTTGTAAACTCTGGAAGCCACCATCTCATGTTTTACCTGGTTGGTCTTTTTGAATTTAGTTGCTGAGTTATAGTTTTTTAGGTGGGTCATGGGATTTTACTTTCTCATATTTCACAGTATTGTTATGATTTGTGAACCTGTTTGAATATCTCTTCTGGTTTTAGTTGGAGATCTTGTTGAGAAGCCTACTCTTCTTTTGAGATTTATTTATTTATTTGATGTATATGACTTCTATAAGCAGTCCTCTGTTTGTTGTGTGTGCACTGTGACACATACCCACGCAAATAGATAGATAGATAGATAGATAGATAGATAGATAGATAGATAGATGGATAGATGATAGAAGGATAGATAGATAGATAGATAGATAGATAGAGTGCAAATTTTTTTTAAAAAAAAATCCAAGGCATCTGTGGTAGTTTGAATATGATTGGTTCCCATAAGTTCATAGGGAGTGGCACTATTGGGAGATGTGGCCTTGTTGGAGGAAGTGTGTCACTGTGAGGGTGGGCTTTGATCCCCTATATGCTCAAGCGAGGCCTACCTAGTGTGGCAGTCTCTTTCTACTGCCCGGCAGATAAGGTGTAGAAGTCTCAGCTCCTTCTCCAGCACCGTGCCTGCCTGCACACCACCATGTGCCGTCATGATGACAATGGACTAAAGCTCTGAAACTGTAAGCCATCCCCAATGAGATGTTTTCCTTTATAAGAGTTGCCGTGGTCATGCTGTCTCTTCACAGCGGTGGAAATCCTAGCTAAGACAGCATCCAAAAGAAGACCCAACAAAACCAAACTACCCCTTAGGTTAGTAATTCATTTAAAAAATTCTTTATTTTTAAACGCTTTTAACTGAAATGGAATTATATCAGTTTCCCCCTTCTGTCTGACTCCCCCTGTGCCCTCCACTACTCTCAAACCCATAGCCTTTTTTTCTTTATTATACTCTGAATTTTTAACTACTGGCTTGCAACTACATTTGGCTCGGCTTACTTAGACTGCCAGTTACCAGTCCTGCTGTTATCAAGACTTTATCAACAGACTGGAGCATGCCCTCTGACAGGACTATATAAACATGATCTGGACACAGCCCTGCTTCTCCTCACACGCCGTATAAAAAAAGACAAACAACAAACCGTATGTAAGGAAGAGCCCTGCATTCACATGGGGGAAATTCAGTCTATGGTATTCTTTCCTTCTTGTTCGAACCTTAGCTTTTTCTTGAGTACCCAACTTTGTGTAATATTGCCAGAGCTCTTATCGGGAAAATATTTGGGTTTAGATTTCTCTGACTTCTGGAAGTCATGGGTTACATTTCACGGCTAGTTTGTTTCCTCATAGCTTTCCCTCTTTGGACTGTATCTTTCGACTTCTGAGTCACGCATTTTAAAGTCCTGTAATGTCATAGATACGTTGGGTTTTCCTCAGTGAAAAGCTGAAGTGGGGCGGGCTAGGGTTGTACTTACAGGAGATTTTTTTTTTCTTAATTTTATATGAGTTTATCTCATCAGACTTCTGTTCATATTCCAAATCCCAACCTCAGAATAGTATGTTAATTGTATTATAAAAATAGCAAAGAATGTTGATCAGACTTGAGGGTAGAGGAAAGAGTAGACTATTCCAAAAGATTTCTCATTTTGAAAAGTAGACATTGGTGGAGGTGCTATAGTTTGGGGAAAGCATCATTGTCTTCATCTGCAGCCTGTGGCGTTACTTTAGAAGTAAAAGAAAGTTAGTTATCAGGGACTTGCTCTTTGGAAGGATATGGGCACGCTGGCCTCTCCTCTTTCCTCATCTTCCCTTTCTGGCCACCTCAAAGGAGGCAGTTTCCTCTGCCCCACACTGCCACCGGTGCTGTGTCGGCTTAGATCCATGAAGCCTGGGCCCTAAGAGCTTCAATATACAAGACCATTATCAAGGCTACTGAACTGTGTGTTTAAATAAACAGGAGTCATGAGGTGTGTGTGTGTGTAATTAAGCCGTGAAGGAAGTTGTCACAGTGATGGGAAGCTGACAAACACAGGAAGTATGGACGATTAACGTGAGCATCGACAAAAATAATGATTTGAGAGCCAAAACAACAGGAAAGATAGTTCTGTGCCAAACAAACATTAAGACTCAACTGTTACAGGTTTATTATTATTTTTCTTTCCTTAATGTTTATTCATTTACTCTAATGCATAATTTTTGGTTGAAAGGATAGGATCCAAATGTATCTCCGGCTCTGGGTGGGGTCATGAATTTCTGAACTGTCAGGAAGACCTTAAGATGACTATCTAGCAGGAAGTGCTAGGGCAGAAAACAAAAACCTACTACTGTTTTCTCCATTAGGAACTGGCCACCTGGGTGAGGAGACCCCTCATTTGAAGGCTGTCTGCTCCAGAAACTTCAGAGAGAGCATATGGCCTGTCCTAACGTGCAGGTCGTCACAATAATGACCCTTTCCCCACTATATCGGTGAGCTTGGTGAGCTCTATGTCTGTATGACTGAGACCACACCTGACCCTACGTCGATAATCTGCCTTAAGCTTTGTTGTGAACACGGGATTGAGATAGTCGTTACCAGGAAACTGTTTTTCCAAAGCAGCACTGTACTTAAATGCCTAAAAAATAAACCGCCTGGGATCAGACTCGAGAAGTTTGAACCAGCCTGGCTTAGTGAGTCGTGCGGAACTGGGTTTCTTTCCTTGCCTCTCTATTCTGTTTCCCGCCAGAGCATTGGCAGGGAGCCCCACATTTGAGTGCTGCAATTTAGGCCCTGTTCACACCTGGAATTAATACTTGGTTCACTTACATTGTTAGTGGGGGGGGGGGGTATGGGCCTGAGCCATAGCTCCATGCTGCCACCGGTGGCAGGCAATTTGTGGAGTTCCCTTCAGAGTTCTATGGTCAAGCGAAGAATTCTTAACTTCGCCATAGAAGAAAATGTGTGGATGAATGCCAAATGAATCAAGCAGAGTTGAAGATGTTAGGAAGAACACGTTTAGAATAGATTTGAGCATGACTGTTAAGAGAGAGGCCTTCAGAATAAGAACAACATGGATGTAGGCTTCTTGTGGGTGACTGGTGGCTACGTGTCAGTAGTAGCCATAAACATGGGGAGGAAGGGTGGTTAAGACATCGTTTTTATTACCCGTGGGAATACTTGTGAGATTCTCAGAAAAATCCAGGCTTCGTGACGGGAAAAGAGAAAGACCCTGCACTTGGACCTTAAGTGTGATTCCTTGCTATTTTACACTCTTATCTGAAAAGTCTTTACTGTAGTAATTATTTTCTTGTCACTGCGATAAAAAGCGACTTAAGGGAGAGTCTGACTTTAAGTTCCAATGGCTTAGCTGTCTGTAATGGTGGAGAAGGCTTGGTATTAGGAGTGGGAGAAATCACATCTCAACTGCCTACACAAGAAGAAGAGAGTGGACTGCAAGTGGAGCCCGGCTATAAACTCCCAAAGCCTATCCTGAGTGACATGCTTCCATAACGTGCCCCAAACAGTGTCACCTACAGGACACCAAGTGTCCAAAAGCATGCGTCACAGTCAAGCCACATTTGTATAACAGGGAAATAGAGAGGTTGCCTCTCTATTGAGGCAACCATCATAGCAAATACTGCCTTTAATTCTTTTTTTTTTTTTTTTTTGGTTTTTCGAGACAGGGTTTCTCTGTGGCTTTGGAGCCTGTCCTGGAACTAGCTCTGTAGACCAGGCTGGTCTCGAACTCACAGAGATCCGCCTGCCTCTGCCTCCCGAGTGCTGCCTTTAATTCTTGTCTCTCGACTGCCAAGTGGCTTCAACTAGATTCTAAATATGTCCTTTCACTTCCCATGTCCCCTGAAATTTTCCTGTCTTTCTATCCTGCTTCAGTATGAGGAGCCAAAAGAACAAACAAACATATAAATGGAGGCTCACATTATCTCAAATACCACCCATCCTCTCAGACTGAGTCCCGCTGGTTCTTGAAGATGGTAGGCACGGCCATGCTTCAGGGTTTCACATTGTTCTGTTTTACTGCATTGTATGCTGCCCTCTGCTTAGAGTGCCCTTCAACCAGAAACCTACTGTCTCCTTCCTTTTCTCATGGAAGAACCCTGGCTCCGCCCACGTGATGTATATGGGATGCCCAGGTCTGGCTCTCAGACGCCCCTCTCACACTGCCAGCCTTCGGAGGCATCCTTGCCTTTACTACTTCCTCCTGGGCCAGCTTCCTGGTAGGCAGCACCAGAGAATGAGTTCCTGCAGTACCAACTGCTCTGCCCACCAGGCTCTGGGGGCTCAGGACTGAGCAGGGATGGAAGAGAAAAGTAAGGAGAGGAGAGATGGAGGGCAGGGAAACGGGGGAGGGGCGGAAGGGGGAAGGGAAAAGTGTCTCAGAGCCCTGCTCGGCTTGAAAGGTCACTGCTCTGTACCTTGGCATCAGTCCACAGACATCCCAGTTTAGCACTGTGATTGGCCTTAGAGATCAGGCCACTCAGCCACCCAGCGGGCTCCCTCCCTTTCCAGGGGACCTAGGCGCTTGGTTGGAGGGTGAGTGCTGACCGGCAAGGGGCCTGGCCACCTCCCTGAACTAAATTGGTGAGAAAATTAGGGGTTGTAGTGGCCTTCCTGATGGCCCCAGTGCACTGTGGGAAGAGAGGGACAGTGAGAGGATTAGAGGGTCATTTCTCACCTTGAGGTCAGTCACCTCCCCCCAGCGGGGAGAGGACCCCAGAGAGGGGTGGCTTTTGAGAGATTGAGGGTTGGGGGGCGGGAATCTGTGAAAGGCGCTGAGACTGCATGGTCTCAGGATTTGGTCTGTTCTGGGGTTGGTGTGTAGTTGATGAGATCGGGTCCCCTGTGGTCCCCTTGCCACCGCATGCTCCTGGCTGTTTATTTCCCAAATCCACAGGCAGAGCCACAAGCTTGCTGCAGGGATTGCGGATCAGAGGCCTACTGAAGGGAGAGATGTGTACTGTTGCAAGTGTATCTCAAGGAAATAAATCCATCCTTTTTTTTTGTCTGACTGTCTGTCCATCAGTCTTTCCTTTCCTCTCCTCTCCTTCCTTCCTTCCTTCCTTCCTTCCTTCCTTCCTTCCTTCCTTCCTTCCTTCCTTCCTTCCTTCCTTCCTTCTTTCCATCCGTCCTTCCTTAAAAATTTCCCCTTAAAACGATTGTGCAACATGAAGCCCAGATACTTCCTGGGACTCTATTCATTGTACTGTCAAAAGCCTGAAAGGAACTGATTCCGTGATTTGCCCTTCTTGCTTGAAAAAAATTGATGCATAAGTCTGGTTTGGTCTTTTGGGACAAGTTGGCTTGCAGCTGAGCTAAATATGAATTTCAAGCTGGACGAAATGAACCGCCTATACTTCTAAAAATTATTTTATTTTATATGTGCGACTGCACCTGCAAGTATGTCTGTGTACTGTGTTTGTGCAATGCCCTTGAAGGTCAGAAGTGGGCACTGGATCCCCTGGAACTGGAGATACAGGTGGCTGTGAACCTCCGAGTGTGCTGGGACGCAAACCCAGGTTTTCAGAAAAAACAGCCAGTGCTCTCAGCTGCTGAGTCACATTCTGAGCCCCGGGCTCGATTTTATATTCGGACAGAAGTTTGGAATGTCCCCTTCTTTGTTATGCTAGTCTCTGTATTTAAAAATGTTTCTTAGCCAGGTGTGGTGGTGCACACCTTTAACTTCAGCACTTGGGGGGCAGAGGCAGGAGATCTCAGTGAGTTTGAGGCTAGCCTGGTCTACAAAGAGAGTTCCAGGACAGCCAGGGCTGTTACACAGAGAAACCCTGTCTCAAAAAACCAAAAGGAATGAAAGGGGGGGGGGGAGTTTCTTTCTGCAAAATAGGTATACAGAGTTTTTTCTTTTGATTTCTGATCAGTGCCCCCTCAGTGAGATTTCTGAGTTTTAGATACCCATCTTTCTTGCTACATAGTTAGGAAATTCAGCCAGGGTCTGGATTATTAAATCACCCTAGTCAAATCCCAAATTCTCCTGTTACAAGCTAGAACACTAAACTAACTAGCCGTCACTAGAACTGTCAAAACGCTCCCTCTTCATCATTCCTCGGGGCTCTCTTGTAGGGAGGAGAGCATGGGGAGACAGATGCGGTCAAATAGCCAAATGAAGAACGATCCTGAATCTTTGATGAAGAGAGACGAAAAGCCCCTGACTGCTTCCCAGCGTTCCTTTGGGCATGTATGCGATGTTTGACATCTGAGCTTGGATCATGAGAGAGCCAGTCGCACCGTGAGAGAGGCACTGATGTCAAATTCTCACTTGGACATTCTTTACCCAGCGTGTATTTAGAGTGAAAAAACCCCTTTATTACTACAGACAAATTGGAATTAACTGAGGGGCCATTTTAGTTGCATTATCATCTCCACCAGGTAGGTAAGACATTTACACACCTTCCCTAGGTTAGCCACGGCTACAGCTGGGTTTTTATGTTGCTGCTTCTAAATCTGAGATGACAAGTGTTTTTGAGATTTGTGAGGCCAATTCGCTGTCGGTACTGTGGATGTCTATTCTGGTGCCAAACCTTGAATTTGGGTGGCTTGCTAGGGGTTATGTTTGGTTTTTTACTTTCCTGTCCAATCTGGGATTGAAGTGTAAAATGTAGCAAGCCGAAAGGCTGGGCTTTCTTTCGTTTTCACGTCCTGACACGCCATCAGGTGTGTCTGTAAGGAGAGAAGGACTGCAATTGTTTCGCCACGTGCAACCGCATGCATGCTTTTATGGGCGCTAATTCCGCTTTTCATAATGGCCCTATGATGCTGCCATTATTTCCATTTCACGGCGGACACAGCAGGCTGAGGGAGGCGGAATGACTTGTTTATTTAGTGGCGTGCTCATTTATGACTTCAATACCGTTTCTCTATGCTCTTTCTAACCATCAGAGTTAAATCGCTAAAGCCATAGCCTTTGTTTTTAAAATCCTTTTCCAAGGAGGGCAACCTGGCATCTCTTACCAAAACAGAATCTGTGTTTCTCCCTGAGGTTCTTTCATAGCAATGCCTGCGTTTTGCTCTCTGTAGGTTTCCAAGCTGAGTCTTTAATGTTCTCCGTGCCGTGGACCTTGGCAGTCTAGTGAAGGTTTCATGAGAGCACACACGTGGAGAACAGACTGGAAAATACTATTGCCAAAATAGTCAGACACTCTAGTTGTGACGTCATGCTTCCAGTGGTATTTTTGGTTGGTTGGTTGGTTGATTTTATTTTGAGTTTTTCGAAATGGGGTTTCTCTGTATAACCTTTGGCTGGCCTGGAATTTACTCTGTAGACCAGCCTAGCCTCAAACTCAGCAATCTGCCTGCCTCTACCTCCCAAGTGCTGGAGTTAAAGATGTGTGCCACCATACCTGGTGCCTTAAGTGTTTCTTTATGAATGCAGTATAAAGATTTAGTAGTTAGGTCAGTCTAAGCATCGGAGTTGTCAAACAGTGACAAGAATAAATGGCATTTTAAAATACTGAGAGAACTGTAAGGCAGCACAGAAATAGACGCTGTTTCTCTCGGCAACAACGCTCCAAAATGGCTAACAACACTGTAATATTCCCCATATTAATAATTCAAGAATATACTAAATTTCACTTAGGGGTTAGGGTAAACAAAGGCTTTTCTCCTCATCCAGGTTCACAAACCGAATTCCTTTTAGTTTAAGGACAGACTTGGGAGAGGCTGGCTCCGTGTGAAAAGATGATCTTAGCATGCCCAAGGCCTTGAGTTCCCTTTCTTGCACCAAGCATAGCAAATGCCTCTGCAGCATAGCAGTTAAGTCTTTAGTTGTTTTGAGGCAGGAACTCACTCTGTAGCTCAGGCTTCCCTAGAAGACATGGCAGTCCTCTTGCCTCAACCTCCTAGGTCTTGAGGTTACAGGCCTGAGCCACCACCTTCAGCCTGCAAATCTTCTTTATTCTGTTCTTCGGTAAATTCTTGGGTAGGGCTGGTGTCCACCACAGGTCTGGTATAGAATGAGGGCCCCCAGTAATTAGTGCCACTAAGGATGTCACCAGTGCACAAATGTAAGTTACAGTGGTTGAGTGCTTACTATGGACCAGACAGAGTGTGAAGCTTTGAACATCCTAGCTTGTTCAGTCTTCCCAGCAACCGTCTAAGAATGAGACCATTATTATCTCCCAACAGCTTGGAGGACTTCATTCTCTCCTTTTACTATGTGGGTCCTAGGATCCAGTCAGGCTTTGACAGGTACCTTTATCTGCTGAGTCCTCTCAGCATCCCTGGGGCTGAGATGCTAATGTAGACAGTCCATCCCCCAGAAGCCTCGCTTTTGACCATCACATGACAAAATTAGAGTCTTTAAGGGAGAAGATCGTGCCTCTCATTAGTAGACCAAAAGAAAGTAAACATCACATACTGTCTGAGACACAAATCAACCATCAGTATGAGTGCATTTTCTAAAACTTTTCAAGATATCAAAAATCTGTTTTTTGACTTGTACAATATTTTTATGTCCCCATCTACTCTCATCACCTTAAAATGAGGAACTAAAACTGCTAAGATAACTCTAGAAACACTGTGTCGAGAAGAGTTGTCATGCTTTGAGAAAACTAGTTGGGCTTTTTCAGTAATGATGATAGAAATATAATTGAATTCAACCTTAAAACAAAAGGAAAACAAACAAAAATGTCCCAGGGTGAAAACTGCAGTGATCTACCTAGCAGATGGCAGTGGGTTTCACCCATCTGATCTGAACCTTGGAACCAGATGTTCAGTCATTTGTGTTACCTTTGTCCAGGGAAGAAAAACATAAGAGCCACGGGCTATTTGCTGTGTATTGTAAGGCTTTCATAATAAATGACTGGTGTGTGTGTGTGTGTGTGTGTGTGTGTGTGTGTGGTGTGTGTCTAGGGTTAACTAGATATAATAAAGATGGTAGTAAGCCATAGTTAGAACCCCTGAGGCAAGAAGGAACTCAACACGAATAATCAGAGGGAAAGCAAACCACCTGGGACAAAATTGGAACTATATAAACTTGAATTTTGGGAAACCTATGTCTGGAAACAGCTATATAGCCCATTTTGTTTTTAAATAACGGCATAAGTTGTCTTATGTTTACTTTCAAAAGTGAAATATATTTGTTGAGAGTACTATCCACACAGCAATCATAAACATTAATGATAGCATTTCTTTTTATTTTTTTAAAGATATATTTATGACGTATACAGTGTTCTGTCCACATGTATGACTACAAGCCAGAAGACAGCACCAGATCTTATTTTATAGATGGTTGTGAGCTGGAAAAGGGAAGTGCTGGGGTTTAAACCCAGCTACAGAGTCAGAAGTTAGGGCAACACGTGTGTATTCCAGCATTTGAGAGGCAGAGGCAGGAGGATCGGGAATTCATGGCCAGCCTCAGCTACTTAAAACTGTCTAAATGCATCCCTATCCCCAACAAAGCACAAAGGTAAAAATCAAATGAACCAGTTACAAGGGTGATCAAGGTCCAGATTTTTTTCCTGTGCAACACAGATCCAGGCTATTTTCTTGGAAGCCCTAGATTTCAGGAATGCACTAGGGAGAAAGCAACGTGGCGGCAGTGTGGTGGGGTCTGCAGCTGTGCTGGCTTCAGTGGGCATGGGTACTATAGGTTCGTACGATTGAATGCCTAGTCCCCAATTAGTGGAACTGTTTGGGCAGGGTTAGGAGCTGTGGCTTTGTTGGAGGAAGTGTGTCACTGGGGGTAGGCTTGGAGGTTTCAAAAGCTCAGACCAGACCCAGTGTGTCTCTCTAGCATCATGCCTGTCTGTTCTCTGTCATGATGGTCTAACAGACTAACCCTCTAAAAGTATTAAAAAACAAAACAAAACAAAAAAAAACGCTTCCAGTCAGTGATATGCTTTCTTTTATGAGAATTGCCTTGGTAACTGGGTCTCGTCACAGCAATGGAACAGTAACTAAGACAGCAACCCAACTGGTTTTCAGTGAAAGCTACTCAATTTTTATCTTTTCATACCCCATTTGAAGGGGATGCTTTTACTTGCTAATTTTTCTTCAGCCGTCGAACTGCATTTATTTCCTTCTAATGTCTGCTAATGAGAGTCACTCAACTGAAACGACACGAATTGTGTGTTCTAGGATATGCTTTAAAACTCAAGAGCATTGGAAACAAACCTAAGTTAAAGATGATGATCATTTTGTAATGTGCATATGTATATACATTTGTAATATATTTTAATATATTTTTGTGATGTATACATTTGTTATATATATACATATATACATACATACATACATACATACATACACTACAGTTTGAGGAGAAAAGGCACCAGGAAATTTAATGTTGGAACCAAGGCTTGTGCAGAAAGAGATTTTTAAAAAATGGCTTGATGTGAAATGGAATAATGGGAGTGGTGCCCCAAGGCTAGACCCCACCCAGCTAAGCTTCCATCTTGTGCAAAGGAAAACCGTTGCAGCAAAGGAAAGCTTATGCAAATGTAACTCAGTCCATCCCAAGCAGGCAGTGGAACTTGGCAGCATCAGCCACATGGTCCCATGCTTTTAGCTTTAGAGCCAGAAAGGAGGCATGAGTAAAGGTGTTCTGGAATCTTCCACACATGCTGTTGGGGCCAGGCATTTGTCAGAGGAGTCCCCGAGTGGAAACCCGGAGAAGCCATTGCGTGAAGCTGTAAAATTGAAGCCTGGGTTGTGTTGAAGACCCCAGGATGTTGGGGGAGCAAAGCTGTGGTATATCTGCCAAGAAGAGTTGCATAAAAGCAGTGGAACCAGCCCAAGTGACAGAAGTGTGTTGCAATCAGCAAAATGGGGAGTATGGGTTCATCTGATCCCTTTGACTTGGACGTAGAGCTACATGGGTCAGAGTTTGCCCTATGGCTCTTACTTTGGTTCAATATCTTCTCACTATGCCCCAATTTCTTTATTCTGGAATGATAATATATATATACATATATATGTATATATATACATATATATCCTGTGCCATTGTATGTTGGAAGTATGCCCATTGCTTTTCAAATTTACAGAGGGTTACAGCTAAGAGACTGCCTTGTATCTCAGAAGAGACTTTGGACTTTTAATCTGTCTTGAGACTGCAAAAGTCTAGGGGCACTTTTGAAGTTGACCTAAACACATTTCGTATTATGATATAGCCACAAACATATGGGAGCAATGGGGTGGAATGTGGTGATTTGAATGAGCATGGCCCCATAGGCTCATTTGGTTGAATACTTAGTCCCCAGTTGGTGGAACTGTTTGGGAAGGATTAGGAGGTTGTAGCCTTGTTAGAGGAGGTGTGTCCCTGGGGGTGGGCTTTGAGATATCAGAAGCCCAGCCATTCCTGGTTGGCTCTCTGTCTTGTGACTGTGTTTTGAGATGTAAGCTCCCAGCTGCTGCTCTAGCACCATGCC